AAGTGTCAAAACATGTCTTCGAACCAGTATATAGGACGGATAGTCGTTGATTATGCAGTATATAGGGAGTGTCACCAGTAAAGCTAATATAAATGTCAAATACACAAAGCACAAACGTTTTTGTTAAATTTTAAGAAGTTGCAAAAACGTGTCACAACATGACTTCGAACTCGTGACTAAAAACTCATGCGCGGATAATCATTGGTAGGGAGTGTAACCAGTTAAGTAGATGATCATTAATTGTTCATTACGGTATTATAATATCAAATACGGAATTAAGTGTCTTCTGCGATTTTTGTTTGGAAAATAAGTTACAAATTCATGAAAGATCGGACGGAGATATGAAGCATAAACTCTGTCTATTAGAGCGGTCGTTGAAGTTTTCGAGTGTGGTAATGTGACGGGACAAAGATTGATCAAGAAGACCGGATAGACGAACTGGAGCTGTGACCGGTCCACGCCTCCGAATTTTGGGAGTTTCGAAAAAAAACCCTTTTGTCAATATAAATTAAAGTCAAAATTGGAATTAATTGAAAAATCTTAATGGAACATTCTTATAGAGATAAACTCATAAAAGTGTATTGGGATCTTTTCTATTTCAATGTTAGCAAATTTCTCAAAAAAAATATTATTCACATATTAATTTTATTTTCCGCCATTCGGCATCGACGCATGTGTTACCAATCAAGAAAACCAACATCACTCTTACGAGATAAAAAAAAGTTGGCATCACAAGATTTGTTCTTTATTGGGATAGTTCAAGAAAAAAAGTAAGTTAATTTTCTGTAAAATAACTTTGACACGAAATGATTGGTATCAAATGGTGGGATGTTGGTAGCATTGGATTTTGTAAACCGAACCACCGACTTCGGTTTAAATTCAAGAACGCTTCTTCAAAAATTGAGCAACCACGAATCGAACCGAGCCAAACCAAATGGCTAGGCCTAGGGAAATTCGAGGAGTGTGGTATGGTTTGGTAATAAAACCTAAAACAAAGGGGAATTAAAGTAGTTGCTTGTACTATATAATATAGTAAAGGGACACATTTCTGGAGAATCTCTCTCTCGCAGCCGTAACTTAGAAAACAAATTGAAGAGAAAAAGAGGAATTTGCGAATCTATCTCCTTCCAACAAGGCTTCATTTCATATTTGATCGCTTCTTGCTGGTGAGCTTTGCGTTATGTTCTGTTCAATTCAATTCGTCTCAATTCCTAAGATCTAGATTAGGGTTTCGGTGGCGGCGAAGGTCGATTGATTGTCGTTACCACAAATTGTTGATCAGAAACTGTTTTCTATAGCTTGATTTCCTGAAAAGTGTTGATATTCATTTGAAATCCGAATTCAAGTTACGTTTTTTGTTTGAAATCCCTAGATGGATCATGGGAGGAGCTAACTCGAGTTTTATAGGGGGGAATTTTTTATATTGAACCAGCTTATGGTGTTGGTGTTTAGGTGCTAGCTTCTTCTTGTTTTGTTGTAATTGATTAGAAGCCATCGATATTTACGATCTAAGAAAGGTCTTTCTTTTGGTATCTGCTTTTGCTTTCCTTGAGTGCCTTGGTTTTAGTTTCAGAGTCTTTTGCCTTGAACTGAATCATTGGTTTTATTTGGCAGATACCATGCCGAAGAACAAGGGAAAGGGAGGAAAGAACAGGAAGAGAGGAAAGAACGAAGCGGACGATGAGAAGCGAGAACTTATATTCAAGGAAGATGGACAAGAATATGCACAAGTCCTTCGTATGCTTGGCAACGGCAGATGCGAATCTATGTGCATCGATGGCACTAAACGTCTCTGCCATATCCGTGGTAAGATGCACAAGAAGGTTTGGATCGCAGCAGGTGACATTGTACTTGTTGGCCTGAGGGACTACCAAGATGACAAAGCCGATGTCATCCTCAAGTACATGTCTGATGAGGCTAGGCTTCTCAAGGCATACGGTGAGCTTCCAGAGAATATCCGTCTCAACGAAGGAATCGTTGGTGATCTTGATGAAGATGGCTCTGACGGAGGCGATGACTATGTTGAGTTTGAGGACGAGGATATTGATAGGATCTAAGGCTTTTGTTTTCTTTACATGTTCCGGCTTGTATTTTCGATTTTAAGACCAATGGCTTCTTCTGAGTTTACACAAGAACCTGGTGCAAGATACAACTATTATGTATTTTCTTCTCTCTCACTATCTCTACTTAGCTTGGATTGGTTTCTCTTCTGAATTTTTTTTGGTTTCTCTTCTTAATTTCTGTCCATCTTTGACATAGAAAGCATTCTATTGCATTGATTGGAAATTGTGAATTGAATTGAGAAAAGGAGAAAACAAATTGACCACATGCATACTAGGCTACTAGCACATCGAAAAATTGGTTAAGCCATTCATTAACTCTTAAAAGTATCTAGAAACAAAATTATTGAACTAGGTGAGTGAGACTAAAGTGGGCATAAAATGTTGATTTCAACCATACAGAACCTATTCGTCCAAGAAGAGAAAATTATATACTTCTCTTTCCGAATATGGATTCTAGAGTCCAGAGATATTAGTTTCAATAAACTCAAAAGAAAAAAAATCATGTATCTAAAAAGTAACCAGCTTCCGGGACTCGTATCTGATCTCTGCCTTCACCTTCCTGATGAATTCCTCACATTTCTTGTTCAAATCTTCTGAACTTAATAAACTATCAGGTACCTCATCATCTATTATAATGATAGCGAGGTCTTGTACCACTATACCCTCATCTTCCTCAGCAACCAATGTAACA